AAAGTTGAAATGCAACATTTTGATGACGACAAAAAACGCAACATCGCGACAAAACAATTCGAAGAACACATTTAATTTTCTCATTTTATTTTACTCGTATTTAATATCTATTAAAAAAAAAAAAAGGTTTGTTCGGTATGTACATTTTTCACTGCAATTTCTTTGTGTTCGAACAATTTATACATATAAGCAAACGCAAATATGTCAAAATATAATCGTGAAGAAGTATAAATGGTAAAAAGAACTTTTTGCTCTTTTGACAAATTCTCTCTTCAACTAACAAGTTCAATTTGTTTTTTTCAGCTTCTACTTTGTCGGAATACATGTTATTTGCATTTAACAATTGTGCTAGACGTATTGAGATATCCTAAATCCGTATGAGAAATAAAGAATATTTTTATAAAATTAGGTTGTATAATTTTCCTATATATCTGTCACACTATTTTGAATCTACATAGTTGGCTTTTATCTTAGCACGTTCTTCTGGAAACGGTAAGTACGGTTTGATACCTTTCGATCTGCGGTCAGACTGCACCGTAGCCTGCGTTTGTGAGAAGAAATTTCTTTCTCGCGTTTACAATAATAAAATAAGCTACAGATATATATATATATATATATAAAATATTAAAAGAATAATTACCCAGAATTCTCTACAATTTCTGTAATTAAGAAAATACAGTTCGCAGTTGTCTCGTTTGTCTTGATTGGACTCTAAACATTTCAGAGACAAGAAATGCTCCTAAAAATAAAAAAAAAAACATCCATGAGTACTTGTTCCTCAAATTCGTCCTTTTGGACGACCTTTTTCTATTTACTTCTCAATTATCTACATTCTTGAAAACAAAGTTACTTGTGTGTGTGAATACCTTCAGACAGGGGTTAATCTCTTCTTGTTCACGTTGCGACGTACGTTTTATCATCCGATTATCTCGTTCCGAAGAACTCGTCCGTGCACTCATTTTGTCGAGACGAATATCATTGTTTATAAATAATATTTTCCTTTGGATACATATAAAAAAAAAAATATTACGAGAATGTAGAATGTGCAGCCTGCGACGACACCAAAGGTGCCGTAACGGAGTCAGCGCCACTGTGTGTGCAACACGTGACGTCTGATCCAAACCCGCGCTACAACTCGACTTCAACAATAACGCACGTGTTGCTGGTTTTTAATTAAAAAGTTGAAATATTTACAACAGGACTGTTTTTTCTTTTTTTTTTTTTACAAAATACACGAGTATAAAATAAAAAAAATTCATTTTTTTTTACACACATGAGATTATATATACATATACACAATATACATAACGTAACATATTACTTTAACAATAAAGTAATATATTACTTTGTTTTTTCTTTTTTTGCCGTCTTGCTCTTCTTTTTCTTCTTTTGTATCTTAATACGTTTATCTTCTCTTTTTCCCTTTGATTTCGCTTTCTTCTTTTTATTTCCTTTTCTCGATGGCGCTTCATCTTCTGACGACGACGACGACGACGACGACGATGACGACGATGACGTTGACGTTGACGAAGAAGACGAGCTAGAGCTGGATGACGTGGATTCGTCGGAACTGGAGACCTCTTCCGCGATGTTCAGCGCGGGCACGGGATTCGGCTTCGGTTGAGATTTCAAATGTTCTCTCAGGTCGTCTGTTAAACCACCCAGACCGATGGAAGTGAAAAAGTTGATGGCAAAACGCGTGTTCTTCGGATCGTCTCTGGGAAACAATCCCTCGAACACCTCTTGCATCGTCACGTCCTTGACACGTTCGTTGAGCTTCGCCAAACCCATGTATTCCGAAAGTTCTTGAAACAAAATTTTGATAAATATCCTACTGGAGCTCGTGGTGTCTTCTTCGTTTAGTTTGATACACTGCAACACGCTCCACGATATGGAATCCGTGAACAGCAAGTGCGCGAAAAACTTCGACACGTTTCGCAATTTGTTGGTGTCGAGACGGTGTATCGTCTGATACGAGTCTTTGAAGATCTGCTCGAACGGGGTAACGTAGATCTTGTTTATGGCGCAAAACCGACCGGCCAGAAGACCGAAGAACTTCTCGTACGTTCGCATTTCCGCGCAACAATCCAGAAACATGTGGCACAGCTCGATCTCCTGTCCGGGTTTAAGTTGCATCTTCATCAACTTGTGCGCGCACTCCTCAAAATCGAGAGACGAATGTATCGTCAGATAAATCGTACGCCGAAGAGCGGTCAGATTTGTTTCGGTGTTGTCCAATATAACGCCTTCCTTCTCCTCGGTTTGCTCGGCGCTGCTGTCCTCGTCCGAACTGTCCTCTTCCCCGTCCTCGTCGTCGGCCTCGGAATCGCTCACGTCGGAGCCGAGAATTTCTTTGCTCAATTGTTTGTACTTCTCTTCGTTTGCAAGATAATCCGCGTCGAATTTGAACACGTTCAGTATATCCTGTCCGTCCATCTCGTCGTCCAATCTTATCAGATGGGTGATTTGATTCTCCTCCTCCACGAGATCCAATTCTTCCGGAATGGCTTCGTGATCCTTGAATCCGTCCTTTCTAATTTGAAACGCCACTTCTATCATGTACTGAACACGCTTGTCCAACTCGCCCTCGTGCAATATGTTTCTCAGCATCTCGAATATGGCTTCGATGCCTCTTCGGGACACCTCCGTCAGTTTCATGCCGCATTCTTTCAAAAACGCTATAGCCACTTCGACGGAATCGTCCGTTGGCGTTTCCAACAGCAAAGTTAATATTTCCAACGCAAGAATCTCGTAAACCACTCGCTGATTGACCAACTGCGCTATAAACGTTCCCGAGGAAATGCACAAGGGTTTGTCGTTTCTCTTGTATCCGCGTTTAAACTGTATGACCAGACGCTTAAGTACCAATTCCCCTATGTTGGGAAACTTGGAGTTTATCACGGCGGTCAGGGCCGCGTAAACCGCGGTGAACGTTGGCGAGGCCGCTTGCGCCTGAATTATTGATCGCGCGAGCAAACCTCTTCCGCGAACGATGTTCTCGCGCATCAGTTCGCGAGTTATAATGCCAATGTTACTCGTGTTAACTTTGTTGATATATCCGTGAATGGATTTCTTCAACGCTTCCCAAGCTATGCGCTGATAAGCAGCTCCCGACTTGTCCGTGATCTCGGCCTGCATCATACGCAATTTGGCGGGTGGTATGTACGCACCTCCCGTTCTTGAGGTCAGAAGATCCACGGTTCGCTTCTGCTGTCGAATTTCTTCGGGATTTTCTCGCGGCTTATCCGGTTCTCCGTAATACCGAGACCCGATCTTCTCTCCGTCCGGTGAATTTTCTTTCCTACGTCTCTCGTCGTCGCTCTCCTTAAAATCTTTCCGATAATTTTGCCTGTGATTGTCTCTGCGATTGTCGTGTCTGCCGCTCCTAACGTTGTCGTCATCGTGTCTGGACGTTCTGCGATTGTTGTCGCGATCGCTCTCACGTTTGGAATTGCGACGCTCGTTGTCGCGTCTGGAACCGTAACGATTCTCGTCGCGTCGTGAACTCCGATAATCACCGCCGTCTCTGTTAGATTCCTTGGAGTCGTCACGTTTGTGATGTTTCTGCTTGGAATGCTGTTCCTGCCCGTCCTCCTCTTTCTCGTCCTCCTTTCTTGAGTGCGATCTCTTCATCTCGCAAACGTAATACACACAATCGCACAGGAGTTTCCTTCCAGATTCTGTAAATGTGTCACATGTCAGCGACTTGATACTTGATCACGCTTCTACTTTTTTTCATCTCTTCCAACAATTATTTTTATTACGTTTTAAATGCTACAGTAGTTAGATGAGTATATATATATTAGTCTTGGTGTGAAAGATGAACAAAACTAACCTGGATTTAGGTTAGGTAATTTAATTAACCTGGATTTGATCAAAAGCTCGAGATGGAGTCTTAAAACGACGTAACGCGCGCGAAAGATATACTTTTGGCCAATTCTGGTGTTTTGCGCCAACGTGTCCTCACGGAATAGTGAGGAAAAATAGGTAACGGGGGAGAAAATGTCCAGAAGATAGTGGAAGCGACTGTTTACGTTTCGAAGAAGATGCGATTGTAGCCCGCAAGGATCGAATCACGGGCGCGTTAAAATAATTATATATAAAAAAAAAAGAAAAGCTTGAGACAAATACATACTTGATAAAAGAGATGTATATTATCCGCGTCGTCTCTCCGCAATTCGATTGATGAGGTTGCAAACTGTTGCAAACTCTGACCGTGTAACGGGATTTGGGAATGCAAGCTCTCTTACGAAGATTAAATAGGTTAGGTTACGAAGCATTGGGTGCGTTCAAACAACTCAACAGTTGCACAACGGTTGAGAGATAATCACTTCTGATTGGATCATACTTTTGGAACCGGTAATTTGTCAAGCTGCAAAATATGCTTTAAGCGAAAACGGTGTGCTCTTGGTGATATTCTCAAAATCATATTCACGTAAGTATTGTAATAAAAAGTATATTTGAAAGTTTTGATGTAAAGAGAAATAAAGAGAGATGTCGATATAAATTACAATCAACGAACAAATAATGTAAAACAATTAAATTTGCATTGCAGACCTTCCACGTCGAGAAGCGAGAAGCTTCCGAATGACATCACGCAAGCTGAGCACGAGCAACTTTGCGATCAACGTTACGAAAACTGTTCTCTGAATTCTTTAGATTTAATAATAAATAATAATAATAATAAGTCATTACGTCGATTATTAAAAATCTACACAAAATTTGACACAATATTCGATAAGTATTGAAAATAAAAGACTTGCATAATATTTCGTCCGTTATTTATATTTATTTATTTATTGATTGATTGATTGATTTATTTATTTATTACCTGCCTTTCTTTCTTTATTTTATTTTACACGCTAATAAATAATCGAGCGAACAAGAGCACAAGATTTACGCGCAATAGTCTTGGTCGTTGGAAACTATGGGACGCAGAAAACGAGCTGAAATCGAGCGAAGGTACCAGGGAAGTATGTCTTGCGAGTAGGTATACGCGCCAGCTCCTGGGCGTATACCTCCTCGTATATATAGCGCGCTTGATCCCACCCCGCCGCCATTACGGAGCACGCGGCGGCCATTATAGATTGCTCGCGCCTCAGCCAATCACCGCGCGACTCACGGCGCGTAGGAGGCGTTGGAGGACGCGTAGCCTCAGCCAATCACCGCGCGACTCACGGCGCGCTGGAGGCGATGGGGGGACGCGTAGCCTCGCCCACTGATACCTCTCGCGTTACCTCTTCGCACAACATGTATTCCTGATACTTTCCTGATATTTTCGAGGCTCTCGGACGACGCGCAACTCACCTTACCCGCTCAATTCTCTTGCTATTTCTCTCTTTTTTGCTTAATTCTCTTACATTCTTTCAATAATTTGTCAATCTTTAAACAACAATTTGTAAATTTATTATAAATATACGTATGTATATAAAACATACTATTTATTAGTAAGGATTAATAGATGTATGTATATACAACGTACACGTAAAAATAAACAGTTATGATAATAATGTAAGTAATCAATTTTGATGCATATAAATTTATAAATTATATATGCGTAATTATATGTATGTGCGATAGGACTTATAAATTATACATGCGTAAAAATAAAATATATAAGTAATTATCCTATTTTGTATATTGAGAAACAATAGAAAAAGGAACAATAAATTAGATTGAGTTTGCAATGTGTTTTCCAGCACCAAGGGTTTTATTATTCCGTTATTATTACATAATATTGAAAATGTTTCCATTATTTTAATTTGTTTGAGGGTCCCGGGCACACATACTGTATGAATTTATAACAGAAGTTTATATACAAATACATAAACTTTATATATCTTTTTGATAAATATATATTACATAAATATTTATTTTATTTTTATTAAATATCCTCGTGTCTATAAAATGTTATCATTAATGATTAAACTTTTGCAAGTGTAACTTCAAATATAACACAAATGACACACAACTTAATATATAAAAACCAAAACAAATACCTTTTACAAATTATTCTAATTATAAACTTTTTCTTGGCTGTCGATACACTTTAAACATGCACTTAAAAAATATGTGCACGTAACAATTCAGCCTTTAATTATTTCAATTCGATAAAATCTTACGTATATAACATATGCATTGCAACGTTAGTAAACATTCTCACAATCAGTCTCTTTTTTTAACTCTATTAATCATTCAGTCTCCGTAAACATTTTGTGCTAAAATAAAATGGTAAATGTTTAGCCAATTGAAGTTTTACATAAAGAAAGTGACCATTTAAACACGTGCACATAGCACAGAATAGAACCGCACGCTGTGGACATAGTGCACCGACATATCACTCTGTGGACTGGCTGCGCAGTTCCAATGTGTACCACCCGTGGACATGCGCTAGTTTACGGGCCGGAATAGCGATCGTAAAAACTCTTATGGGCCTGGCCACTCTCAGGCTTCTCTCTGTAAACATCTAAAAAATCATTCGAACGAGATGAAAGCTTGACGACTTAATTTTCTCAAAATGGAAGTTGGAGTGGGTGACGTAGTGATGCCGGGTGATTGTTTCAGGGATTTTGTATCGATTAAGAAAGAAGGAAGAGAGGACAGAGAGGCTGTGATCTTGGGCCCCGGCTTGCGCCGCGAGGGTGACACCGTGTTTATCTGCAAAGCGGGTATCTTGAAGAAACGCGAACCGGCCGTGTACTATGTGGACAGTTATCAGAGACGGTATATCGATGTTGAAGATATCAGTTGATACGTAATAAATGTTGATAAGCTTAATTTTTCTAATGTCAAAACTAGTTTCCTTTTTTGCGGTGTTTTTCTCTTTTCACATATTCAAGCGATGATTCGAACAATTTTGTTGTTTTGCATTCGATTGCTAATTTAAATAAAATATTCTTTCACTTTTTCAGATATGTTCCTAGTCGAGGCGAGAATGTGGTCGGTATAGTGACGCAGAAAAGCGGTGATATCTACAAAGTGGACATAGGAGCCAGCGATCAGGCGACTCTCTCCTACCTGGCCTTCGAAGGTGCTACCAAGAAAAACCGTCCCGATCTGCAGGTCGGCGATTTGGTGTACGCGAAGCTGCTGGTCGCCGGCAGGGACATGGAGCCGGAATTGGTTTGCATGGATTCTCAGGGCAAGGAGAACGATCTCGGCATTCTTAGCTCGGACGGCATGATGTTCACGTGTTCGCTGAGTCTCGTGAGGAAGTTGCTCAATCCGGACTGTCCGTTGTTCAAAATGCTCGGCAGAAATCAGGCGTACGAACTCGCCGTCGGAATAAACGGCAGAGTCTGGATCAAAGCGCGCACGGTACAAGAAACGATAGCTGTGGCAAGTGCCATTCTAGCGGCAGAGTACACATTACCCAGTGAAATGCAAAAACTGTGTGCCAGAATCGAAAAAACTTTGCTTCTGATAGCGTGATTCTATGCGAAACTGATGTTGAACGCTGATGGCTTGGCGAATTTAACGGAGAAAGAACAATCCGTAATTTGTAAAAAGAAGTAGTGTATCAGCGATGGCGACAGATTTGTAAATTAAAAATTAGTTTTGCTCAACTCTCGGGTCACAAACTATATCCACACGAGAGTCTCAACATTTGTTTCAGTCTTCTTCGGCGCATCAAGATGTACATTGATATAGAAATAAAAGACAATCGCTTCCTAGGAAATTCAATGTTTAATTTCACTTTAACAAAGGAAACATTGGTGACATTCGAACGTTACACATATCGTCTTACACTAATAATCGCAAATGGTATCGATATACAGATACAAAGTGCAAGAGCGCTGCTGATTACATTAGTAGTAGTTTTCTCAAAACATCTCGCTGATATGTGCCTAACGTAATGTTTTTTTTTTTTTTTTTTTTTTCCACGACTCGCCCGAGCCGACTAACTACGTAATGATCTATAGACACTAGTGACGGTATTTTGCACTCAAGCACAACCTTTACTTTCTCCCTTTTTTTTTTTATTAAAAATCGTACTCAAGAATCGCTTAACAACAAATCCAAAAAATATATACCGCTACGCGCGTGTACTTCTGCGTGTGTGTGTGTGTGATGATGATTTCTGCATTTAATTAAAAAATACACAGAAGATACTTTTTTTTTTGTACTTGATGGAATGTATTTTAATTGCCATCGCCTTCTAATAATATCAAAGCGAAAATACGCAGGAAAATCATTGGTAAAAAAAAAAAAAAAAACCCATGTCGAACACAATTTCTGTTTAATTTAAAAATTCGTGATTGTCGATACGTGTAAAATAATATAGAAATTGACATCGTTATTGCATTCGATTAAATAACGTATATGAAGTTTCTACGAAACTGTGTTAAAAAAAAAGCAGAAACTATTGAATATCCAATGATTTTCTGTACACCTTCGCACTGTGATACAAACGGTAACTTATCATTAAAAACGCACTGGTAACTAATTGATAATATAAATATATCGTTTGAAAAAAAAAACAAAAAAAAAAAAACAATAATACACATGTCAATTGTATGCAACAAAACAAGTCAAAACACATCTAGCAAACAAAACAACAAGTATTGTAATAATAATAACAACAAAAAGGTACGCGTATTAAAGCTAAACTATTTTTTTTTTTTGGTCAATCATGGCCCCCTACCGTCTCACAGCACTGTTCTAAAATAAAATGTAAATCTAAATGCTATAAAAAGTGCACGCCGTTTAGAATTTTTTTTTTTTTCACTGCGCGGCACTAACGTTCTGCGAAAGATCTCGACTTTTTTTTTTGTAAAAACTATGTCTTTTTTTTTGCATAGAAAGCGAAAAGATCCAACGGAAACAAAACAAGAACGAAGTAAGATCTGAAGATAAAAAATAATTATATAACTGTCAAAAAGAGTGATTTTCTATTCGCGTAAAATTATACGGTCGACTAAAATTTACAATTGAAATTGTAGCGCGTAATTTAGAATTAGAGTTCTCGCACACACAGAGATGAGTAGAATATATCAGAATACTCTTGTGTGTTTCCCGTACACATATATTTCGAGCTAAAATGTGCGAAACCGAAAATCCGATCCTGTGCGGAATACCAGGTTTGTTACAATATGAATTGAAAATGACACTCGTGACCGAATCACGATGTTCGCAACACATTTATCCTTCGTGTTAATCTTATCCGCCACTCGATTCGTTCGAACGAATATTTATTGCACCAGCGATACGTGGCGCGCGCGCAAATTTGTTGCTCGGGTTTCGCCGCAAAAAGCAATATAACAAGTTTGCACACAGGAGGAGGAGAAATACCCACATCGGACATTAATATTCATTATACGAAACTATTCGTTACATCCTTGTAATGTCATGGAAGAAGCCACAGTGCCTTTTTTTTTTCTTTTTTTTTTTTTTGCAAAACCCACACACTTAATATGTTCACCACATATTGGGATGTAATTAGGCAGGCAAATATGTATGTTGGGGACGATACATGGTGGCACTAGCGACCATAAACATACTATTCTATGGCTTGTGCTTTGCTTACAATACATACGTTTTTTTATTTTTTAATTTTTTTTTTTTTAAATCCAAGACTGGGTTAATCGTCGAGGTATATCGGGGATTATATGTGACACACGATAAATGTTCAGAAGCAATTTATGCGTGTACGTACATATTTATGTCGCAGCGGTACCATCGTGATATACAAGCGGTGCAATGATAATGCGCATCGATTGGGGCTGGGAAATGAAATGTTTTTTTTTTTTTTTTTTTTAGGCAAGCGAGAAAGACTTCTTTTGTTCGCGAAATAAACTTTCAATTTCGAAAAAGAAAGATGAAGCATTGCGGAGAAAAAATTTGTCTCGTCTAAAAGTTTCGAGGATCTAATTTTCTTGAGTCAGAAAACAATTTGTTTCGAAAAACTTTCGCTTTTTCGAAAGAGGAAAGATTCAGTTCTTGCTTTTGGAATTTTGGTAAATATTATTCTTTCGCTAAAAACCGTTTCAAGTTTTCTCGCAATGTCTTCTCTCAACGATCGTCGCAAACGTATTAAAAAAATGCTCTTCTATAAGTTTACCGCAATATAGCCTATATAATTATTATTACTATTTGATGATATGAATGTAAAAATGTCTGCCATTATTACTGCGAGTTCATTGTTTTATGTAAAACATAAAATTTTTTTTCTGCGTCGCGCAAACTTTATTTCTTCATTTTCAGCGTCCGCTTAATTTTCTTTTATCAATCTCAACTGTAGAAAGAAATAGAAAATATATTTGTTATATAAATATATATATACATATACATATATATATATATATATATGTGATGATATACAATGCGCAGTTAATATGTTTTTTATCTAATTTCTTTTTTTCTTTTTATCCTTCACAGAATGTCATTCCTATTTTTCTCTCGCTACAGTGATGAGATTTTTAACGGACAGGTTTCTCTAAAATTATCGCTGAACACGCTGCTCGTTCTACGAACAATTTTACACGCGTGTGGATATGCTATTTCCTCCGTGGTACAGTATAATGGCAGAGATTCTCTCTATGCGCGTGTTTTTTCTAAACTTTTGAATCGTACGTTTGTGTTGTAATTTCTTACATGAGTTTAATAGTAGCTACAAGAATAATTTCTTGAATTATATACGCGAAACAGTTTTTTTGTTGTTGACGTAAAATAGCTGTTTTTTTTTTTTTTTCCGTTTTACTTCTGCTACAAGCATTATTACGCGTGTACAGTATTTATCGCTTTGATCAAAAGCAACAGATTATTATGTTAAAAAGGCTGAAGAGTCGTAATGAAGTGAAGAATTATGCAACAACACGACGCGTCGGTAAAAAAAAAAACTGACGCAACACAAATCCGATAACTACAAATTATCCACGCACACTATTACGACAAAAACACATTTCTCGCTCTACAACGTAATTACACACACAATATAACTGCTACATTATCTTACGTTATTATCCTCGTTATTCTTCTTTTATGATAACTCATCAAAACCGAAATCTATACAAAACTCTATATAATATCGCGTGAAAAATCTACTTAAATCTACTTAAAATAATTTTTGAACGAGTGTTGCAGAGTTTTTTTTTTTTTTTAACAAATGTTTCCGACGAGAGTGACATGACTCTTCTCTGAAAAAGGGACTACTACTAGTGACTTTCCATGAGCGAGATTTGTCGACCAGCAAAGCGAGACATCGAGGTGTCGCGACGCACAATCAATGTCTCTACTTTTTTCAGATATATAAGTAGATAAATATTATCATCAAGTTTTTTTTTTTTTTTACCATAATCGTAATGTATATAAAAAATTTCTTTGCTTACGCCTAAAGTAGCTTGATGTCTCGATTACATAAATATATTTATGTATGTATATATATGTGTTTTTATATTAATATATTAATTATTGTATTTTTTATTTTTTTTCTTATGTATATATATATATATATATGTATCTATATACCATTCACAACACAGAGTGCATAGTACGAAGCCAAATATCGATTTGCTCCCACTTTTTTTCTATCACAATTCTTTTACATATACATATGCGCGTATATATTTAAGAATGTGTTAAAAAAAAAAGAGAGAAGCAAATCTAAAGCCTCAATGTAACAACGCACAACCAATTTTTATACAACCTGCGTGCATCAAAGTAGATACTTTGTAGTTGACTTGAAAATCATGTGTGCCGCTGTGTGTTTTTTTTTTTGTTTAACATACAACAATATTGGTCTCGCCAATATTAAAAAACAAAAATTTTCAATATATTAAAAAATTCAACAAATATATCTTACACGCACACACAATATTTTTTCTCTTCTTTAATAAACGAGATTATATGTATAACGTATTGAGATTCGAAAGAATAAAAAATTTGTCAAAAAATTAATTTGTTACAGAGACTAGTTCAAAAATGCGCTATCAAATCGTCGTTACTCTTTTTGTTGGCAAAAATCAATGTGTCGAACGTTAGGAATGAAAACCATGCGCACACAGTATATACCCGCGACGAAGTCGGGTGAAATGTTCAGTTGCTCAATTACAGCACAAGAGGATTCATCCGTCACGTCTAATACGATAGAGTTATTCAAAATATGTAGTGTTCTATGTTCTTTTTTTTTTTTTTGTTTTTTTTTTCATCTTATTTAAGTGTTAGAGAATTTAATGCTAGTGATTATTGAAATTCTATTTATTGCACGCAATGCGAAGAAGCGGTCGCTTCCCGCACATTGTAGGCTGTTGTGTTTTGTTCGACCCACTTCCACGGCTTCATTTTTCTTTTTTAATTTTAGTTTTTTTTTCTCATGTCAAACAAAGAGATATGACGCGGAGACTGTTTTACTGTTGTAAAAAAAAGAAAGATGGTGCTTCGGAAGTGGGACACCGAGTATTCTCCCGAGTATATGGTTTATTTTTTTTACCTACTGACACTTGTGGTTTTTGCAATTATCTATATTTCTGCTCTCATTAATTGCTGTTTAGAAAAATTTGATTTTTTTTTACGATCCGGCACGTGCGAGTCAGAATATCTCTCGACGCGATAGGGTAGTTGTATCGTCATAGTGGCGCAGAAGTGTATCAAAGCAATGTTATCGCGTTTCTTCGAGAACAATCACATGCAAATGCTATCATGTGGAAAATGCTATGTATCGAGATAAAGTCTAATAATAAACGCGACATCTCACAAATGTTATCGTTACAATTTAAAACAATCTTCTTTGTCCTTTTTCAAATCACGGGATTTTTTCAAGAGCACGCAACGAACAGCGGCGTATTTACAGAGAGATAAAAAAAAAAAAGCGGCGATTTCTATTTATATACACTTAATAAATTTAAAAAAAAAAATTCTTTTTTTTTTTAATAGAGATTATTATGGGAAAGGAACTTCCGGCGACTCGTGCGTACCTTAAAACGGCAGTAAAAGTTTGTCATATACATCGTACGTGCATACGATTCGATTACTTAAACAACAAATGAGCATTAAAAAAAAAAAAAAAAAAAAAATATCTTAACACTCGCATGCTATATATGTATACATCCGCATTACTTACTTTTTTTGAAAAAGTAAACAAGTGCAAAATATATATATATGTGTATGTCTTCTTCGACACTATCGTTCGATTATTAATGTGATTCATTGAGTTCTCTCCCTCTTTTTTTTACGGAATTATATCCTTAGGTTGCAGTCTTACTACGATTCTTTTGGCTCTCGCAGGAGCTCCGCTTCCCTTTAAGCTCGATCACTGAGCAAGTTATTGAGTGTGTGTGTATAATTTAAGAAACTATACTAGGAAAGAGGGAACGTCCTGCAGTAAACGTTTCCAAAAAAATCGATCACCTCTCGCGAGAAGAAATCTGGTGTGGAGTCTTACACTTTGTTTTTTTTTTTTTTTTGAACACTTTATTGTTGCGTCGTTTCGCAACAACATCGGGGATCGAACGAGAATTTCGACAACACGAAATTTGTTCTTCAATTCCTTCTTGTTTGCAGACAGTCTCGTTGTTTGTTTGTTTTTTTTTTTCTAATAATTTTCCGAAATCATTTCACATGCAGGCAGAGAGATCACATTTTGTCTATCTTCTCAAAAATATACAAAAGCTTTAAATCCACCTTGCACCTTCAACATCTATTTCTCACACATATTCGCTATTACGCTGCATATAAAAACTTTATCTACTTAAGTTTTTATCTTCGGAAACTCTTTTGTGTCTGTAAATCTTCCAAGAATAATGACTTTTCTATGTGTGTGTAAATGTTCCAGAATTTTTCAAAAATCGCGTAAAGAGATAAAGGGTTCCGCAGGACAACCTTTTTGTTTCTAGAATAAATTACCGGTTACCTCGTTCGATCCCCGATTGAAAAGTCGAGAAAAAATTGTCCGGACACTCGAGATGACGGATGGACTTCTCAAGCGTCCTCGACTTCGAGAGATGGTACTCTTTTTCTAGTTACAATCGCTAATAGTCTTGGATTTTTTTTTTTTTTAGTCTATCGACTCTTTCTCTCGATCGTAGTTTTTTTTTTTTTGTTTTTTTGTTTTTTACACAAACTCAAGGCCTTTTCGATAGGTTCGTTTACTTTACGTTCGAAACAACAACGTGAAAAACTTTATCCAATTTACTTACTTCGGAGCGGAGCGAGTTTAAGCTAAACAAAAAATGCTAAAGCCGTCTAGGCTGCACGACGCTGTTGTTGTTGAGGCGCACGGTCGTCTGATTGTTGAAGTTCTCGTCCTGCGGCACGTGTTCGGTGCGCTCGTCAAAAAATCCCGGATTTAGAATGATATTGGGCACGAGCTCAATCACCTCCTGCTCCTCCAGCTGCGCTGCAATTTCGGAACGGAGATTAATTTTCATTGGTCTGGGCCACGGACCTTATCAGCTTCTACCCTCTCCCTTCACCAGTTTTTCTTTGTCAGGTTTTTTTTTTTTGGAGCAAAACAATTATGTTTTCTCGGAATTTTGTTTTATGGTCAAACGAATCGTTTCACAAAATCATCTCCGATATATCGTTTTTTACGAACGAACGCCGACTAACGTTGCCAATTGAAACACCCGTTTTTGCCTGACAAATAACAAAACGTGCTACTTCTTGACCTACCTCACTTCCAACACTTCCAAAATCCGGTCTTATCGAATATATAAATTTATCTAGACCATAATGCTGTCTATGACTATTTTAATACTTACTATTTCTTGCACTAAATCATCAGTCGGCAAGCTTTTATTAACATTATAGTATATAACATCTAATCGGAGTAACAAGAAAAAATATTTCGTGTTCAAAAAGAGAGTTAGTAATCAGATTAGTAAATCTGCGACAAGGAAACATCACCGAGAGAAGTTAGAGATTTCATTCCAACGAGTGCCATATATATATATTGTAAAGAGATAAATACATTAAGATTATTAGATTATTTGACAGTGCTCATTGTTAGTGTCAAGTGCGGCAGTCTAAAAAAAGTGTTGTATTAATAACTGATGATATATGTATGTATGTGTGTGTGTGTGTGTGTGTGAGTGGGAGAATCCGTCAAATAATGTCTTGTATTTGTCAGTAAATGTTGAATCTAATGGGGTTAGTTTGCACGGTGCTCAAAGAAGTATATAAAAATGAAACACATCATAAAGATATTGATATAAATTTTTTTAAGAATATGGCTATATATCGCGTAATAGAGAGAAGCTAAAAGATCAGAGCCGATACATGAGTAAAAGTCATCTAGCCGACTAAAAATGCTGTAACGTTCCTGTTGTTTCTGTCAAAAAGAGTGTTACGTTCTTCAGCTAGTTTGCGCAGAGGCTTCTATAAAGGGAGAACAATCCTCTGGAAGAGTCGTGCTTTTTAAGAGATGCTATGAACGTTTGTTAGTCATCACCAGCGGAAAGAAGTGGTAGTAGTAGTAATAGTAGTAGCAGCAATAAAGAGACAGAGTAGAAGCAAAAAGCTCTTACGGTATTGTTATCAGATAGGATGCTTACAGGGTGCCTTGCACTCGCGATACGACAGGTAACATGTACCTATACCAAGAATCGTAAGTGTGCCCATCACAATACCTACGGCTGCCAACCAGATACGCGTATCAAAATTCTCTACGCCGTCTAAAAAGTGTCGGGCGAGCTCTGAAAATTAGTTACGTCGCATAGTAAAAGATCTATTAGTCTTTGAGTTCGAATGCTGCACAAAAAAAAACAAACAAAAAAACAATTTAAACAGTTTATGTAATAAAATTCTATTTTTAGGGAATATTTCGCACTTCGAGATGTTTCTATGTGATTGTCTTATATCTCTCTCGCTCGATTAAAATAGCAAATTCTCGATCTGCGACCTTGTGGGTCGCAAATTGCTTTCTCGAAAAGATCATAAATATTCAAGTAAACAATGCAATTTTCCTGGTTTCTTTTTTTTGCAGTGGTAATAATCATTCCGCGCATTTGCGACTTTATCTCAACGATTAGATTCTTATCTTCGCTATGTGTAATTTTATTATAGCAATTGTGTAAAAAAAAAAAAATACCCAATTCTTCTACGCTGTGATGAGTGTGATTCTCGACCTCCACGATCTCGCCTTTTCCCAACTGATTGGTTGCCCACACTCGAAACGAGTATGTAGTGTTTGGCACCAAATGATACACATCTATTTGTCTCTTTAAAGCAACAAAACAATCATTATTTATGGATACAACATTGTGCAACACCTTGTCTTAGCCGCACAAGTTGTGTTACAACTTATACAATTTTCTTTGTATTTAATAAATTTTATTAAAACAAAGATACTTACAGAATTTGGAGGAATGTGCGTTGGAATAATAGGCTTCCAATCTTCCGGCGTCTGGCCCTCAACTGGCTTCAAACGATATTCGGCAGTGAAATCTATGATAGGATATCCACCAGTACCAGCTACTTCCCAGAGTATATTGGCTAATATTGTGGATGGCTTGACCCATACATTGTGCAAAGCTGGGGGAGGAGCTGTAAAATTGCACATTGCAAATTATTCTACATGCAAATCGCACAAACATCTAATCGTCGCGCAATTAATATTTGCATATCACACAACTCACTTTTGACTTCTACATTGATCCTAGCTTTTACAGCATCGTGATCGTCATCCAAAGTGCAGGAATAATTGCCGGCGTCATCCGCGCTGACATTTACCAGCTCAAGTATACCGTTGGGCTCGACTTTAAGTCTCTCGATCTGTCCCTCTTCCCGTCCTTCTCTCACCCACATTACTCCCACATTTGATTCTTCGGAATGTGGAAGTGCGTTTTCCTCGGCACAGGCGAGTTTCAGACCCTTACCCACATCCACAGCGACGTACCGCACCGGTACCACGGCTACTGTTCCCTGCCATCCTGCGGGATCGCAAATAATTAATGAAATTAATGTATGAATATAAAATCTTTCTTTTATAAATTTATTTTCATGACAACAATTTTGCATCAGTATCCCGTAGCTTGAAATGATCGAAATTCGCTCGAAATTTTCTGCATTTTTTTTTTTACGCAATCCTTAAATTTGAAGTGCTTTGTTTTCTCAATTATTTACAAGATACAGCGTACAAACAAATTAGCTGGACAGTAAACTTCCGCAAAGACGAAACATCTCTTTGAAAAATTCCCCCCGATCTGTTTGACAAATTTTTCAAATTCCATCACCCTTTGTCGACAATTTCGAGGAGAGACTTGTCTCAGATAAAATTTTGCACATCGCGCATCGCGCTCGTGCAGCGACGACGATGCACAAGTGATGAAAAAAAAAAAAAAAAATTGACGGAACAACAAAAGATTAGTCTTTTTACATAACTCGACCCTGAATTGTAACGATCGGCGTTGCGTGCACTTATAGTCTCGGTCGTAGATCGCATGATCGTATTGTTGGATATGGATCGCGGTATTGTTTCTCAACGGATGCGCGTATTTCCGCCTCTCCCCCTTTATCTGTCTCTCTCTCTCTCTCTCTCTCTCTCCGTTTCTCTATTTCTGTCTCGCTCTTTCGCGTTGTCAATGAGACGACGTTGACAAACCACTTGTCGTTCGATTACAAGTGTGCTTACCTGCCAGGAAGAATATCAGCAACGGCAGCAATTTGCGTTCGTCCATTCTGCCATAATAAGGAAGCGAGCGCGCGCGAATATGCCCAGTATATACGCAAAGTTTGTGTATTATTTATTACGGAATTTTCTTCATACTTCTTTCTGTGCCAGAGAGATCGATCGATCCTCCCGTTAAAAAAATTTCTATTTCCCCGCGGCGAACGTCGTGCGGACGCGCGTCGTACGGACGCGTTCACCTCACTGCTGCTCGGCGACAGCGTCGGTCGTTCCTATCATCGGACTCATCGCTTGGTCCGTCGACCTAAACGTCACTCGTCTGTCACTAACGTTATTATTTGATACGACGCGCTCGTCACGCTCCGCGGAACACCGCCCGTCCGCCGGCGCGTTTCGCTCCTTTTATCGAATCGCACGACCGTCGTCGTCGCGCACTACGCGATCGCCTCATCTAGCGGCGCGACGACGAAACGTGTTCTGTGAAAGAACAGCTTCTTTATCGCTTGGAGGTCAACCTAGAATCACGAAGCCGACTCTCTACTTTACCGATAGCCGACATCTGTGTGACAAAGGAGTGCGGCATATTACGGCTATGTTCGGTCAAAATAAAATAAATATATATGTAATATATATTTATCAAAAAGATATATAAAGTTTATGTATTTGTATATAAACTTCTGTTATAAATTCATACAGTTTTTATGTGTGCCCGAAACTCTCAAACAACTTAAAATAATGGAAACATTTTCAATATTATGTAATAATAACAAAATAATAAAATCCTTGGTGCTGAAAAACACATTGCAAACTCAATCTAATTTATTGTTCCTTTTTCTATTGTTTCTCAATATACAAAATATGATAATTACTTATATATTTTATTGTTACGCATGTATAATTTATAAGTCATATCGCATATACATATAATTATGCATATATAATTTATACGTTATATCGCATATATAATTTATAAATTTATATGCATCAAAATTGATTACTTACATTATTATCATAACTGTTTATTTTTACATGTACGTTGTATATACATACATCTATTAATCCTTAATAATAAATAGTATGTTTTATATACATACGTATATTTATAATAAATTTACAAATTATTGTTTAAAGATTGACAAATTATTGAAAGAATGTAAGAGAATTAAGCAAGAGAGAGAGAAATAGCAAGAGAATTGAGCGGGTAAGGTGAGTTGCGCGTCGTCCGGGAGCCTCGAAAATATCAGGAAAGTATCAGGATCACACGTAGAGCGAAGAGGTAACGCGAGAGGTATCAGTGGGCGAGGCTACGCGTCCCCCCAACGCCTCCTACGTGCCGTGAGTCGCGCGGTGATTGGCTGAGGCGCGAGCAATCTATAATGGCCGACGCGCGTGTTCCGTAATGGCTGCCGCGCGCGGGGTGGGGTCAAGCGCGCTATATACGAGAAGGTATACGCCCAGGAGCTGGCGCGTATACCTACTCGCTAGACATACTTCCCTGATACCTTCGCTCGATTTCAGCTCGTTTTAAGCGTTCCATAGTTTCCAACGACCAAGACTATTGCGCGTAAATCTTATGCTCTTGTTCGCTTGATTATTTATTAGCGTGTAAAATAAAATAAAGAGAGAAAGGCAGGTAATAAATAAATAAAAAAAAAATAAATAAATAAATATAAATAACGGACGAAATATTATATGCAAGTCTTTTATTTTCAATACTTATCGAATATTGTGTCGAATTTTGTGTAGATTTTTAATAATCGACGTAATGACTTATTATTATTATTATTTATTATTAAATCTAAAGGATTCAGAGAACAGTTTTCGTAACGTTGATCGGAAAGTTGCTCGTGCTCAGCTTGCGTGATGTCATTCGGAAGCTCCTCGCTTCTCGACGTGGAAGGTCTGCAATGCAAATTTAATTGTTTTACATTATTTGTTCGTTGATTGTAATTTATATCGACATCTCTCTTTATTTCTTTGTACATCAAAACTTTCAAATATACTTTTTATTACAATACTTTTAAGTGAATATGATTTTGAGAATATCACCAAGCACACCGTTTTCGCTTAAATATAGCGGCAATTTCCTGCTACCTAAACCCAACCTAACCGCTACTCGTTCTTTGGTTCATTCCGGGCTGGTACTCCAGACGGCGTTGAAAACAGCGTTCCTTTTCTAACACAAATCGAGTTTGGACCCCCTGGACTCTGTGTGTGTACGCAACTGACGAATAAACACTGACGTGATCAAAGAACCTTATTAAATTTGCGAACTTGCTACGAATCTATTCTTTCACCTGACTGTTTTACAGTGTTTTTGATGTTACATCAGGATCAATTATGTTTCGTATTTCGAAACGCATTTAATGTAGCGAAACGTATCCGGAAAAATTGTCTACGTCTCACAATTGTTGTACACATAATTTGTGCTGCGACATTGTTAATTTATCATGATGAAGGATATAAATCAATTTGTTGCCTGTTCGGGAAGAAAGAGAAGTCTGAGAAGTTACGAGAGCCCACTGAACAGTTTGAGAAAAAGGTGGCTTTTACAATAGTACTCTTAAGTATAGTTATACAATATATATACACTTGAATATAACCGATTTCAAGTCAACTCCGATTAAAAATCCACGACGAGATCGTTTCTACACGCTCACATTTGTTATTTGAAAACTGACAAAATTTAATCTTTTTTTATTTGTATCTTTTCCAAAGAATTTCAGGGCAAAGCTGACATCATTGATAGTACTTGTCTTATTGATAGTACTTGTTAGTGATTGTTGATTTTTTTTTTTTTTAGCATTGATTTAGTACTGATTCGCTCCCAAACGTAGCTTCTGTATGTAAAAAAAGATTTACATGTACAATTTGCGTTTACAGGATATGTGAAAAACCAGTTTTGCGATGGTATGTGTACACACACATACATCGTCTGCGGTTAAAAAACTAATAGATTGATCGCGGTGTATGTGGTACACAGTGTGCCACATTTAAAAACTTTATAAAAATAAAACAAGAATGTAAAAAAATTATATAATAGAAAAATTAATCTCTTATTCAAATAGTTTAAAAACCAACATTTCTATTCCTTAACTATAGATTCTCCAATATTTATGTAATAAATTTAAAACTACAGCTTAAACATTTAGGAATAATAACAAGATTTCTTTAAAATGTTAAACTTTTATGACTTGTCACCAATGTGTGGAAAAGCTCACGAGTTATGGATAATATTGTCTGCAACAGAAAGAAGAAGAAAACTCCAGTCTCTGTAACGCCAGAAGAATTGGACAACCAAATTACAATAGACTCTTTGAACCAACAATCTTCCTCAAGAAATAGTGTGATAGTTATAACTGACAGTGATAATGAAGCAACCAGCAAAAACGAAGAAGATGTCATATTATCTGACATAGCAGAGTGTCACTCAGAACAGTCCTTTCTTCAGCAAGAACCAGAAAAAAGGCAGAGAGCTTTCAAGAATAAAACTAGCAGACCGTCAGTTATAATACTAGAAAATGAATCATTTATAGATGATTCATCAAGTACGAAAGAATCGTCATCAAATGGAGAAAATGTTGGTAAGTAAGCTTTTAAGTTTTACATGAGAAGAATCGAGCATTATGTCAAACTCTAGAAGGAAACAAAAATTAATTTTGCTTGTTCCAAAGAATTGAAACTTTTATTCTGAGATAGTATAATTTTATAAAATTTAGTAATTTTTATATAAATTTTATAATCAGCACCGTCACAAGTAGAAGATGATGTGGTTGAATTATGGTCATCTCTGAAGAGTCCGCAAAGAAGAAAGAAAGGGATGAAAAAAATAATAAACAGATATTTTATCAAATGTGATAGAGACAGGAAAGCAAATTTTAGAATAGACAAGAAGCCAGATTACACGTATCTTGGGATTCTGACGAACAAACAATCTATACGGATGAAAAAGCAAAAGCTGAAGCACAATAGAAAAATTGTGAAAAACATTAGTGAAACTATCTCTCAGCGCAACGAATCTGTTGTAAGCCGGGCACGTTTAAGAGCTTGTAACATTAACATCAAAGAAACAAAGAAAGCGGAATGTCAAAAGTTCAATAACCCAGCTCATGTTATTGTCGGAGAAGTGAAAACAACGGAATGTGATAAAAACCACAATAGCACAAATTTGAATCGTAAATTAAGAGAGATAGTTGTAGATGGCTGTAACGTAGCGTTATCGTACGATCATATTTTTTTCTTTATCTTACGTGTTATTGATGATAAATTTTTTGTGGAATGAAAATTTGTTGATATGATTTTTAAAACAAATTAAATTTCAGACATACAAACGGTCAGGAATTCTCTGAAAAAGGCATTAAAATAGTTATAGATTATTTTGAGTCGAGGGGTCATGTTGTAAAAGTTTTCTTGCCGCAGCATATTCGAAAGAGAAAATATTTGCTTCTCGAGGAATTGTACAAAAAGGGTATAGTCGTGTTTACACCTAGTCGCAAAATCGCTGGCAAACAAATAACATCATATGATGATCGGTAATTTCATCGCAATGTTTTTTTATTATACAAATAGAAAAATAGAATTACTTAATACACGCTCTAATATAATTAACACAAAAATTGCTTCTACATATATACACGTAATCGCACAAAATGTTTGTGGTCTACTTAGTTTTGTGTGCACGGTACAAGACTTACCGCAGAGAACAGAGAAATTTTATTCCATTTTTATGCATAACAAAATACCTCTATTAATTTTTTGTTCCTACAGATACATCTTGGAATATGCAACAAAGTGCGAGGGAATCGTGATTTCGTCTGATCAATTTAGAGATTTGTACGAAGAGAAACCAGAATGGCGTGATACAATTCTGAATCGTTTACTGACGCCCACTTTCGTTGGAGATTACATTATGTTCCCTGAGGATCCGCTTGGCAAATCCGGACCTAATCTCGAAACATTTTTGCGACATTGAGATTATTACAGTTGTCGAGCTATATAAGGCCAATATATTTGTAATATTTCCTACAGCACACATTTCTCAACCATTGTAGGAAATATTATAAATTCTATAAGTGTTAAAAATAATTTATATTTTATATACCACGGTGTATTGATAATGTTCTCCTTATTTTCTATTTATTTTCTTTGATAGATTGCGAAAATTTTGTATAATAAAAAAAAAAAAAAACTGTTATGGTCAGTATTCTTAGTCTGATCTCATTTAAGAACGTCGGAAGTTCATCTTGTGTGCGAGTTGTTTCATTGATTACACAGATCATCGAAAGATGAACTTACATTTAAGATGATCTAATTATGTGAGATTCGACCATGAATACCGACGTTTATGTGAACGGAAAAATATTTTTCTTTATACGATACTTATTAAAGACGTGTGTGAGAATTGTATACGCGGAGATACACACAAAACATCACTATAACAAGAGATCCTACGTGAGATTTGACTATGAACGCTGTTATAAACGGAAGAGCATTTTCGTTTATATATTTATTAAAAAAAAACGTGCGTAAGAGCGAAAAAAAAAACGCACAAAATGTACTACTATACAAGAAATGTACGAAGATCTAAATAAAGATATTTTTATGTAAATTATATATATTATATTCTCTGCGAAGTGTATAAAATATTTATAAGATTAATTTTTTTAATGAAAATGCTTTTACATGAATATACACATAACGTATTATTCTGCTACAAAAATAGTTAAATATCAAAATACTTTGTTACTACATTGTATAAACGTAATCGCATACTGAAATATATTAAAAAAAAAAACTTGTTTCAGGTCTCTTTTTTGATATATTTATAAAAAAAAAAACAAGTAATACGGTTCTGTGCATATATTGTGTACAAAAATATTAAGTAATGAAAAACAAATAAACATGTTGCTATAAGCAAGTATCAAAGATCACACTAATCATCCACGTTTTCACTCTGGCTTCCAGCAAAATTTTCCCGATTGGCGAACGTAATCCATACTTTCTAAGGCCGATTCACGCGCGAAACGTTGCATCGTGCTCTCATTATTGTCGTTGAGACGTGCGTTCGCCAACACGTCTTCGTGCTGGAAAGCTGAACTGACATCTGAAATATACAGAAACAAGAGAGTTTTACAGAATCAAAATAAAACATTTAAGTAGTTTATTTATTTTTTTTTTTTCAAATAGAAAATTTACTTGATTTTAAGAATAATTTTCTCAGCACATAATCATCATCCGCAGTTGAAACTGATTCTTCTTCTTCGTTAGAACGTCCTAAACGTCGACCAATCAGACAAGATACACGTTCTCCTTCAAACATCGCGGAAATATTCTTCGATTCCTTTTTGTGTTTTTTACGTTTACGAACAGATGTGGTTTTGTTATCGCCTGAAGCGGACTTGTCTTCCTGTTCCACGTTACTACGATTTGTGGAAGCTACGTCTTGTTCGCAAACATCTTTAGACGTATCATTAGTTTTTGTGTTCCTTTCAACATCCAAATTTGTATTCGAATCTTCGTTGCATTGTTTGTTCAGATTGTTTTGTGTATCGATTTGATTGGGAGATAATGTTTTGTTCTCAGACACGTCGTTTTCAGCAACGACAGTCTCGATGTGTCCCGAATTATTATTTTGCTCGTTGTTTTTATTCCCAGAACTGTTGTCACTTTTATCCTCGTTGGAAGTCGATTGTATCGTCGCGCTTATTTTTTTGCTCAGAGCCGAGGCTAATTTTTTCATCTTCTCGATCTTGCTGTGAGAAAAACTCGGTGCGGGCATCAGTCGGGATTCTCTAAACAAGCTATCGGATTCTGAAGAATCGCCGTTAATAGGTTCGTTCAGATTGAACAATTCTATAAGATCTGATGTTCGAAACAATCGGCGTTGACGTGGATCGTCGAGAACTTTGTTGGAAAGTAGCAGCTTGAAGATCTGTCTGTGATATATCTGAAAAAAAAAAGGATCTCTAATTATTGCACATGTAAGTGCAATAAGAAGTTAGACCCGTTGATTGTAACCAACCTTTTCCTCGATCGTGCCAGCGGTAATTAATCTGTAGATAGTGACTTGTTTATTTTGACCTATTCTCCATGCGCGTTCTCTCGCCTGAGCATCCGTGGCTGGGTTCCAGTCGGGATCGTAAATTATCACTCGATTCGCACCGGTCAAATTCACTCCCAAGCCTCCTACGCGCGTTGTTAGCAGGAATACAAAATACGATGGATTCTTTGACAAAAAAAGAAGAAAGTTTTTTCACGAACGTAAATACAAAATGTATCAAACGCGTCTCTCAATTGTTTGAGACTTACATTGTTGAACTTGTGAATTGTTTGCTGTCGCTGAGACATTATCGTCGTGCCGTCCATTCTTAGATACGTGTATCCTTCCAATTGCAAAAGACATTCCAAAATGTGCATCATCTGTACAAAGAAGAACCACGTTGTGTGTTTTAATATTACTCTCTGAACATTGTCTACTGACATTGAAATTTTCTACTAGCATCTGAAACTCTTACGGAACTCTACTCAAAATTCGTTGATCTCGGCTAAGAGTCAAATCTAGAATCTTCTTTTCCGGGCAAGATACTTTATTATTTTTCTATTGCAAATATCTGTGCGCAGCTTTGTTTTATCGTGAGATATAATCGATAACAGATCTCCTTATTTGGTTACTATTTTTAGTTCGTATAAACAATTGTTTACATACCTGTTTTCCCTGAGTGAAAAGTAATACTCTGTGTCCTTGTTTGTGCCAGATTTTCAAGAGAGATCGCACCACAATCATTTTCCCGGCTCGTTTCCAATAACCGAATTTCTGTAACTGTTCCTCGGACAGGTCGACGTCTTCGTCCGAATCCTTTAAAAACAAAATTGAGATTTATAAATGTCATATTATAAATCAATTATTAATATGTCTGTGTGAATTAATATCATTCGATGAGAGTTTACCATTTCTCGAGTGTATAAAAACAAATCCGGATGATTGCAAAGTTTTCTCAACGCCGACAACGCAATAAGAAACCTCGCTCTGTATCTTCCTCTATCCTGATTACTATTTCTCTCGTGTAAGACATACAATACGTCGTCGGAAGACAGATATTTTTTATACAGTTTCTTTTGTTCGTCCGTCAAGCTGCAGAATAATACCTGGAAGAAAAGCAACTGTTATCTACGCATCTGATACATATTTTTAATATTAAAAATAATTAAGTCTATTGTCGATTGTGATTATTTCATTTGATTTGTGGAAACAAAACTGCGCTGACATTTTCAATAAAAAAGAAATAATAACCTGCTCGTTTTTTTTCGGCAGTGTGAGATGATGTTTTACGTCAGTCTTCGTTCTCCGGAGCATATACGGCGTGATGGTATCCTTCAACAATGTAGCCACTTGCAGAGCCGTGGCTTCCTGCAGCGACGTAGCGTTTACGTAACCGCCGCGCGTTATAGGAGCTACACAATGTTCCAGAAACACGGGAAGAGTTCCTAATTTGCCGGGGATAATGAAATCAAACAGGGACCACAATTCCTTTAGAGAATTCTGCATCGGACTGCCGGTTAACAACAATCGATGTGGCGTTGAGAATCGCTTAACTGCGCGGCTTACCTGCACCGATTAGATTAATATAAACAAGTATTCAATAAACACAAAACCCGAAAACAAAAATAGAGATATGATAGAAAGTAAAATCAAATATTAAATTGCTTGTCTACAAGTAAAACAATTTCTCTTTTGATAATTAATTACCTTCGCTTGTGGATTACGAATCATATGTCCCTCGTCAAGAATAACATAATGCCACTGACTAGATGCGAGCAAATCTTTGTGTTTGAGAACACCATTGTAAGAAGTTACGAGTATTCCGCCAGTTTGTAAGGATTCTATCAGATCTTCTGGATCACCTACATGAGAACATTGCAACAAGTTTGTTATCAAGTCATTGAATTATTCTAGTGTGAAATTTATCGTGATATATTTTTTTTTATTACCGTTGTAACCACCAGAATGGTGAAGCACAACGACCCTGAAAAAAGGCCACCATTCGTGAAAATGTTTCACCCATTGTTCCATCAGAGTAGCAGGACACACAACTATGGTTGGACCTAGACCTCGGAATCTGCCAATTGAATTGCGCACAATTTTAGTTAATATATTTAATATAAATGTTAAAGCAATATATTTGAAATAACATGAATTTTTTTTTCATTTTGTTTCGAGAAATATAAACACATTTTGTTAGTTGAAAATACCTTCCGTTGTAAGAGAGCAATTCGCTGCAATCCATTCCCGCGAGAAAAGCGATAACTTGTACGGTTTTTCCTAATCCCATCTCGTCGCCCAATAAACCGCCCAATCTACGACCGTGTAATTCCCAAAGCCATTTAACCGCAACCTTTTGATATCTGCGCAAAGAGTTTAGAGTTAAAAAACAAATTTTTTGCACAGAGTTAACTCGCGATCACACACACGTGCTTACTTGTACAATTTTTCCCAAATACATAGCGGTACTTTAAATAGAGTGTCGATTTTGTGCATTTCTTCTGTTGTAGGATAGCTGTTCGTTTCCATTCTTTGCTTGAATGTACAATTATCTCCGTCGTCACGAGCTGGAAGTTAAGGCATTTTTAAGATAAATTAGAACAAAACATTTTTAGGGTCTAATAAAAACAAACATAATAAGAAACATCGATTTATGTTCTTCTCTCTCTTCTCTTATCGCCACATACATACTTCTCTTTGTACGTGTGCACTTTGATTTAGTAAAACTTTTTCTTTTCTTTGACACTGCTTTACTTTCCGCATCTAAAACAAATGTTAGTTTTCTTTTAATAAAATGTTTTACAAGGTACACTTTTAAAAATAAGTAATCAATAATAATATTACCAGAATCGACTTCATTATCACTGGGAATGTATTCGCTTCCGGAACTTATGTCTGTAGATTCATTTGTAACACTTGAAGACTCCACTTCTTTTGTATATTGCGGAATGTTAGTTTTGACGTTTTCCTCGTGTTTAGAAGATTTTGGAGCATTTTTATTCGATCTTGCATCAACGTTGAATACTTTTGCTTTTTTGGCTGGGATTGGATGATCTTTGTCGGAAGATGCTTTAGGCACTTTCTTTAACTTCCTTTTCTGCTCCGCAAGAGCAGCTTGCTGTTTAAAATATTTCTCAAGGTCCAAGTGAGAGCCTTTCTTGATAATTCTAGCAAATACAAAAACAATTATTTTGTTTCGTAACTACTACAGGGGTGAAAAATTATTTTCGACGTTTTGTCAGAGTGATATTAAATTAATAATTAAAATATGAAGTTTTTGACATACTTTTCTGTCTGTTCCAAAGCCGACTGTTTAGATATTGCCTCAAAAGGAGTAATCTCTCCAATTTCCACCTGTTTTTGCAACTTTTCCTTGTGAGTTAGTGTGCCATCAATTTCTTCACCTTCTTTAACACTCAATTGTGTAGTATCTTCCTGAGTTCTGTCCTGATTGAAGGATTTCGAGGCATTTTCAATTTGCTCCGAAACTTGTTGCACTACGCTATCTTCCGTTTTCACAGATACTATCTGTAAATATTCTTTTATAAAAAAAATACAATAATATGACACATATACATGTCATATATATGTATATTGTGCAATATTGCATAACCTAAGGTACCTCTTCTAAATTATTTGGAAGCTCATCCTCGATTACTTTTCTCGTCATGTCATTAAGGCTCGATGAATTGTCATCATTAGTTTCTGCCATCGCGAAAAGATGAAGAAAGTCGTCACATATCTTGCTGCAACATGATAAATTATATATTTGTTAAATATCAAAAATATTATTCCTCGCACACGTGCTCAAGCAAGATATTAAGTACATATTTTCTACGCCGGAATATGAATTGCATAAAGAAAGAAATCATCGATCGTTTTATTTCACATGCAAAAATTCTCATCAATAATACAAACACGCATGAATAATACAAACATGAGGAAGCAAAAGCCTCATGCAAATTATCGAATGTTTTTATCGACGCAGCAAAATTTATATATCTGGCATATCAATTACACATATATGTGCGTCATTATATATTACAATAACAATTTTAAATTCAAGTGCGAATTTATACGAACTTAATTCATATATAGCGCAGTTAAATATACACAGCGACGTTTTAGAGTTCTATACATATGTAAGTAGTTTTTAAATTATCGCATAAAAAAAAAATTTTTTTGTGATTGTTTAAAAATATTCGATTTTTACGTATTTTTAAATTAATGAGATGTGCACGCGTTTCAAAACCGCGACAATTTTAACCCTATCGGAAAAAGAGTAAACTATAGGTTTGTTTTCCCCTTTGTGTTTATATTACGTACATTATTGATACAAACAAACACAAAGGATCGCAAACTTTTTGAAATACTAAATTATTAATTAGACCGCCTTTTTTGGTTTCGTTACAGAAACTACAATTTGTTTAAATGATCAAAAAACAAAATAATATCATTACGCATTTCCGAGAGAGGAAGGACGCGAGAAAATGCAATACAGGGTGTGAGTAAAGTTTATGTACTCAAAGTGCAGCTAACTGCAAGAGAGAGAAGGCGGGTCGCTATATTGTGCGATCTTTCTCTCTTGTCCGGAGTTCGCTTTCGCTCCAGTTTGCTCTCTCTCACTCTCTCTTTGTTCAACTCTTCAGAGTTCGCCCGTCAATCCGGTCCGACCCTTTAAAAAGGTTTGTTTTTTTAAAAGTTGTTAAAAAACTATACATATAATATATATACGTATATATATACATATAAAGTATATTTGTTTCCGAGCATGATGCCAACAATTAAGCGAGCGGCAATCAAAAAAAATGGCGTGGAATTTTTCTATTCCAATGAAAGTGAACCCGGACTCGACCAACCGATATTAGCGCACCACAGCAGACGCGGGTCCCCACGTACCCGGGAACCTCGCTCGCCTTTGTGAGGGTTATTGGCCACGAGCTAACCTTTAATGTAACCTAACCTAAACTCCGATAGCCAATCGGTATACGTTTCCGACGAACTCTCGGGAGTCTGTCGATCTCGAACAAAATATATAAAACCGAGGGTTACGCCACTGTGTATTCGCGATACCGTGCTGCGGTTGAGAGCTGTTGTATCTCCGGACTCACGCGCTTGATTGTTGGTTGATTGTTCGGCGCGACGATTTATATATATATATATATCAGCCGTGTGCGTATTTGTCTACAAGAGGCGAGGTTCGTGGCTACGACAACACAACGTTTCGCCGTTTCGAGGATCGCTCTTGGAAATTATGCGATATCCGCGCGAATGAGCAATAATCCCTAGGTAAAGATTCTCGCATCGTTTGTGCGGCTACATACATACGCGCGTGTAACGTGTATGTACGTGTATAAACGTGTATTTGCAACAAAAATTACATATATGTATATATATATATATATACACACACGTATATATGTATATGTACGTCACGCCACGGCAACTGCCATATCTGATTCGTTTGAGAATTCGGTTGTTTTATTCTTTTTCCTCCTTTCTAACGTTCGCGTTCGACGCGTTTTTTCCTCACCGTTGCTGGCGATTATTGGCGAATTCCACGGCGAAGTTGCGAACGTCGCACGCAGTCCGAAAGAACGCGACAATCCGAAACAATCGAATCGTCGCGTCTCTCTCTCTCTCTCTCGTCGCGGCGAATTTTGATCGTCTCGATACAACATTCCCCTCGTGTGTACAATGATGTTTAGATGTGAGTTCTTCGCACACATATTTGCGCAGACACCGTGATTCCGTATATTGTCGTGTAATATTTTTTTCATATATTTTCGTACGTACTCGGGAAGGAGAGCACGGCTTGTAGGCCGATTTTTCATCGATTAATTTTTTTTTTTTCGTCTCATGATTGCCGACCCACAACCGCCTCCCGCTTCCGCCCTTGTTATATGTCGCGTTTGTGCAACGCCTGGTAAGGGATCCCCGTTTTTTGACCGGACAATGCGAGCGTTCTCTTTGAATCGTTGCGGTTCAATTAACGTGTTCGTTAGCCGTAAGTGTCATCGAAGAAAAAAAAATAAACAGTTGAAGACAACAAGCTTTCTGTTCAGGCGGTTACGCTGTTTTCGCTAACAACCGGAATGTATCCTCGAATATATTTTATTATCGTTAATTAATGTATAATACTCGATCATTAATTAATGTATAATACTTGACGCAGCTATGACGTTGGATACCGATGACACACAGAACGCGTAGAATGCGTTAAAAAAAATTTTATGTATATATATAATAGTGTAAGATTACGTGAGACAAAAACTCAACAAAACAAAAGATGTCAAAACATGTTAATTTTTGCAGAGAAATAGTAGAGGAGACACGCACAGAGTGAAATATAAATAAATAAATGAATGATAGAAGTAAAAAGCACAAATCTCCGATCAAACAATTGGTTTATTTTATTTGTCTCTGATTATTTCTCATTAAAAATGTTTGATTTCAATGATTTTGTGATTTTAATTGATTAAAACACAGAAGTGTAAATTTCAAGATTCAAAATAAATTATTTAAGATAATTTATTGTATAAAACACCAAACAATTATAAATGGAAAATTTTTAATGTCTACTTTGTTTTACTATTTAATTTTTTTTTTATCTGTATCTGTGTTACATGTGAAAGAAACACTTTTTAATTAAATATTATTGGCAGATAACTCTAGCTATTGATACTTGTGAGCCATCCCTTGAATCAAGAATAATCAAGAGACTGCAGTCATGGAATCTTCGGACAGAAAGAATGTCTATCTTACAAAAACCGGTGATAATTCCTTAAATTCTGGAATGAGAGACACTATGATCGTCAGCCAGACTAATATGACGCCAGGTATATATTTATATATACCAGGTACAAATACAGGTATATTTTGTTAAAGACACATATATTACATATATTACACAGAGGTATTTATTGAGGAATAATTATGTAAATAAGGCTGCACATCATATTATATATTCTCTTTATACAGAATGCGGTGGAGAGAATGTGATGAAAGCCAACAATGTGTCTGCTGTCTCTACCAATCAGGCAAAGTGGTCCAATACCAATCAGAATAAGAACTTCATCATTAATACGGTGCCTGTGAAGAATGAGGTGAGAAATATTCACATTTCTTGCATACAAGCGATTATCAAACCCTGATAACAAATGTATGTATAAGTTATAGATGGAAGATGTGTTACAGCTACTTAAATAAATTCAAAGAAGTCACAGAAAACATTTCGTACTCGATAATAATGAATAAGATGAGTATTTTTTTAGATTGTGCATCTGGAAGATGGTAATGCTCATTGCAACAACAAAAAAATGTACTATTACGATAGACATTACACAGGTCACGAAGAGCCAACGGAGAGACCAACGAAGGAACGTAGAGGAACAAAGCGATACAGAGACAAGGACGCGCCGAAACGAGCGCTGTATGTTAAGTGAAGAACAAAGAATAATGATATTATTATTATTTAGAGTATTATATTCTATGAAATTTATTTTTAAATACATTAAAGCACCATTATGGGTTGAATTGCATTAACAAGTTTTATTGTATCTGTGTGACTATCTAGATCCGCGTTTTTCTATTTCTGCCAAGAGCTTCGCGGTAAGATGAGGGAATTGCATCCCGAGATGGGTGTGGGCGACATTGCGAAAGAACTAGGAAAATTGTGGATGAGCACGGATCTGCAAACGAAATCCAAATACATGGCCATCGCGGAAGAGGACAGAGCTCGATACGAGAGAGTAAGTTTGCATCGAAATTGAACGATTGTTTAATGCAATTTGTAGAGATTTTTCTGTTGCTTCGTATGTAATCAGAATTAATTGATTACTTACATAAAAACATTTTTAATACACAGGAAATAATTGCGTACAACAAGAGAGTAAAGAACTACGATCCAGAAGAAGTTGGAACCGTATAAATCATGGCTTTAATGAAGACGGACGAAGGCGACCCTATTCTCATTCGAGCACTTTGGCACTAACTAGTGCACAAGGTGTACGATAAGTTTATTACTAACCTAGTATTACTGATTATTACCGTTGTATATATTATGTACACTGTTGATATTGTCCGGAAAGAAAAGAAATTTGACTCTTGCAAAAATTCGGTTTACGTACACGATAAACAAGAAACAGAGATTTGGAAAGAAGACTCCAAGGACGGCATTTTATAAAAGAATTTCTTTATCATATAACAACACACAGGCGCTATATTAAAAATACATGACTAACGTGTGCTAATATATAGATATTTACCGACCCAATATCTAATACAAGACGTAATGGAATATCAATTAATCAAACACTGTTTAATCAAATCCTTTCGATTATACTATGTTTTAAATAATTGATGTTCTGTTATATAAAAAAGTTCTAGTAATAGGAATAATAGTAATTATATAACTAACATATATATATGCACAAACATATATATATACATATATATATATGTGTATATATATATATAAATAAAGTAACTCTCATGCATTACAATGGTGAGGCGATAATAAACGATACTGGTAAACGTTCGAGAGTAAAGTAACAAACCGTACATATTGCACCGTACACATAAACTTATATCGCATAGTAGTTACTGTAGTTTGCTTCGTCGAGATGTAAGAAATAACGAGAATGTGGAATAGATGAATCAGTTGGCAATAGAAAAGAGAGATAAATCTTATTACACACAATGGGACTATGTACAACGTATAGAAGATTTTCTGCAAGAAACCAAGGACACCACGTCGCTGCCTCGCAATAAATTTGTATACAGTATATACTCCGTTAAACATCGCCGTTCGAAACAAAATAAACACGAACACGTGAATTGTTTAGATGAGACAAAAGTGTGATGGTTAACGGGGTAGGGATCGTGCTGTATACTTCACTAGGTAACAATGTCGCACAGTGGGTAAACAAATTTGATATGAATCTGACATATTACTTAAAAAAGACGGAAAATAACGCTAGCGACTCGTAATTAACGAATAAGTCGATTTTAAGTAAACTACGATATTATTAAAGTATTTAATTACAATCAAACTTTTACAACAGGCTTTTTTGTAACTCAAAGAGAATTTAATATCTCGTATCTTTTATAATTCTCTCACATAGCTTTCAAAAAAAAGTTTGTGTATTTTCTCTTTACCCATTGTACATATTTTTTAACAAGTTACATATATACACGTGAATGCATTTAATTACTCTCAAAAATGAGGCACAAATTTTTATTATCGAGGAAGCTTTATCAATTCGAACGTGAGTTAATATTAATGACTATGTTAAAGACTTAAAAAAAAAAAAAAGCACAATAGTAAGTAAAAAATCTTGAGCAAAGTGAGCGTTGTACAGTATACTTGTATTATCCAATTATGCGTAGTTAAGTAAGCATTAGAAAAGTATAAATGTATATCTATCGGGCAATTATAACGACATCCCGAAATAAACAGAACGTGTAGTCTATGTATTTTGTTCTTTTTTCAATAAAGGAAAGATATATGTAAAAACTCGTCGGCTTTGTGCGAACACTTATTTCTCATTGATTGTTTGTACATTAATTCTAATTGTCATTCGATAATGTGTTTATAAATTTTCTCGATTGTCGTCAAGTTACTAATTTTACGTAATGTTTTTTTAATTAACCTGATAGCGAAAGGTTTTTCTAATATCAGTTCAAAAGAGTTTAAGATTTATTGTACAATATTTTATGAAAATAATAATAATAATTAATAAAACTGAAAATAATAAATGTTTCATAGAAATGAAAAAGCAAACTTTTAATTTTTATACATATTTGCATTATTACTTGCATCTGCTTTTCTTGTTTAACAAACAAAATAATTGTATGGGTACACATTAAATAACGTTATAATTAAATAACTAAATTTTTTCAATGACTTTCTAGATATACATGACGATGCTTAAACTCTTTGGAAAGATATGTTTAATATATTTATCACCGGAACTGCTTCTTCTACTGATAAGAATTTTGTCTCAAATGTCGCAATGTATTGAATCAAACATATATAATATAAATGTGGAAAACAACCGGCCCAGTGGTCTGAGAAAGCTCGGAAAATTCCGACGGTATGGATTCGAGAACTCGGGACCTCTCACTCCCAGCCATTACACTCAAGAGACCACTGGACCGATTCCGTTAATGTTACTTTTCCGTTTGTCTTACAAGATTCAGGTTTTACAAAATCTCGAATCAACAACGTCAACGTCAGATCTATAGAAATCTACGACGGCGACTTAATATAAAAACAAAAGATAAAAAAATAAAAACTCTTCTTTGGATTATACCAATTATATGCAAAATATAATTGCACATTTTAGATGAAGTTTTTATTGTACAATATTTTACATAGAAATGTTTTTGAAGAAAGGGAAACGCGAAACTCATTTATGAATCTATTATATATCGCACAATTTTGACAAAATGGCGAGTAATTTTGAAACTTTATACATGGCTGTACAATTTTTACATCGCATAAAATTAAATATACACTTTTTAATAAAATTAAAAACAAACACAATGTGTGTCGAAAAACAAAAGAAAGGAAAAAATTTAAGCACAGTAAATGATTTTTTTGATGTTGAAATATACATGTATATATATGTTACAAATGTTTTTTTTAGTCACACATTTGTGTGATTGCATTTTCATACATGACTAATGATATATAATAGATTATATGCGTATTTTTTTTTATACAGTTTTTCTTATAAAATACATGTATTCACACGTAAATTAGACGATTGTACTTATCATGTATAAACTAACTTGCAATGGTTTTTTGTTAATTACAACAGTAAATACAGAGTTCTTGTCTGCAATATACAGAGAGATTTCCGTCCATGCTACGTTGTATCACTACTGCTTAAACCGTTCTTTTGATCAAGCTTGTTCGCGTTGGTTTTAACAGTATATATGAAAAAACTCAGAGCTTCCTTTTCCACCACAGGAATGGTCTTGAAGTGCTTCATGAGGGCCTAAAATAGACATTTCAATTCTCAGATGATGGGACTGTATTACATTCATGAAACCTGTGTGTGTGAGTACCACTATTCCGTTAAAATATTTCACAAAACAAAATTTATATATTTTCGAACACATTTAAAAATTATACACAATTTACTTACATCTGCTAATTGGGCTTTGTTGATACCAGGACGCGTGGAAATTTTGTAATGCCTCTTATATCGCCTCAAAGTACCGACTTGCAATTGAAAAAGATCGACTTCTGGAACATCGTTGTCGGTTTCACCGGAATCCTCTTCGGAATCTTTGCGTCTACGTTGTTGTTGCTGTTTTGTTCTCGCGCACTGAATTACTTGTTTATGATAATCACAGATATAGATATGCCGTGCCTGGAACATATAAAAAGAATTATATTAGAAATAATATAATTCAAAACTCTAAGTTTTTCAAAGAGATAAAAATACACGCACAAACTGTGTTTTACGTAAAAAGTAAACAAGAAAGGTAAGCGATGCGCACAAAAAGATGATAACGTGTATATTATCAGTAATTTATTTATAAAAATTACCGCGCGAATTGAGAGAAAAACAAAAGCAAAGCCGGTATTTATTGATAATAAATTTCAAACATAAGTTTGCTTTTGACGTATAAAAAAAAAAAAAAAACAAAATTGACATTACCGCGTGGCAATTGATAAAATACATCGAATTTTCAGACGCGCATTTCGTGTATTGCTGGAAAAAAATTAGCAATCAGAGGGCGTGGATGTCTATTACACACCATATGATCGAGATTCAGCTTGAGTCGCCTCTGGGTAACCGTCTTCTGAATGCGCTTGCTGTAGGACGCATTGCCGGCCGGGCGGGAACATCGCTCGCCGTCGTCAACAAGACAGCAGATCTGATCCGCCGCTCCCCGGGAGTCCTCCTCGCCGGTGCTAAAACCGTTCATCAGGCCGTAACGAGCGACGACGCTCAAAGCGTTGTCCGTTATTCACCGACACCGCGCGCGCTACTTGCTTGACAACGACAACACCGCTTGATAACAAACAACGTGCCGCTTGGTTTTGTGATTCACGTAAGTGAATCACAAAACTCCTCGATATTTGCGGAAACAGCTGGGGCGGTTGGGAAAGAAACGATCGCGAGCTACGACCGTAACGAAAACGCGCCAAAATTATCGCGCGAGTCCATAATCCGTCGAACCCAAACAACAAATCTCGCAAGTCTACCGGACAAGTGTTCTCGTCAAGAAATTTTTTTCTTTTACTCGCAACTGTCAGTCCGTGTTGAAACTTGATGGTGGTGGATTATATATGCATACGCGTGTACGCGCAATTTTTAACTCCGAACGTTCATCGGGGGGACCCACGCCGGTCACAATTACGAAAACGCTCTCTCTCAAGCTTGTCAAGTTTTAAATCCGTGAGATTCGCAGCGAATTCCCACATAATTCGCACATGACTCTAACTGACGTTCCGCCCCCCGACTGGTAGAAAAACTCGGACAGTTGGAGACGAACTCGCACGTCAGAAAGCACCGCTCCAAAAGCTGATGTGTGCCGCAGCTACGCCGCTTCTCTCTTGTGCACTTCCATATAGAAGAAATTGATCGCCAAGGCTTTTATCGATCGGCCAAATGATTTAAATTGTTGATTCACGTTTTTTTACCGCGACGTTGATTCGACGGTGCCGCGACGTATATACTCGATGATAAATGACGATGATGATGATGATGGTGTTACAATAAGCGAGAAAGCTTTTTCTCTCGTTTCTCAACGACCAGATCGAGCCATTAATATATCCATACGCCAGTCCGCCCGGGTTTTCAAAAGCCGGAGACAGCTATTCGAGAAACATACACATTAGGTACACGCGAGTAACGACGCGAGTACTTGTGCGATACCACCCTCTGTGATAGTCTGATACTAACTGTTTGCGTTCCTCTCCGCCCCTCCGATCAAACTGAACGTGGTGACGCCACGATAAATATGAGAGCCGGAAGCGGAGCGTGACAGGGGCCTCTGTTAGGTCTGTTCCACAATACAGGTATTACGTTCCAAAATCTTACCTTGATAACCGAAAACTATAGGTACACGTGACGTAAAATTATAACATTTTAGTAACCAAGCTAGGATTTTGGAACGTAAGCTGTCAAGTCGGTAAGTCCGTCAAGAAATTCACCAATCACAGACAAATCACAGAGGAATAATCGATTGTGATTGGTCGATTTCTTGCGACTTGCCGTTGCGGAACAGGTCTTAGATTGGGCGCGAGCGACTACCAGTCAGTCGGCTAGTTCGTTGGCCGTTCGCGGTTACTACGCCTATTATAATGCAGCTGCTGGAAATCTCGTCCTGTGATTCCGCAGCGCTAGCCGGAAGTAAGAACGTAGCTGACGCGCATGCGTGTTCGCAATTTAAAAATACGCGCTGCGACATCTAAAGGCTGCTATTATCAGCACCAGGTACTTAAAAATCTATACTTCACGTCGCATGTGCTATAGATTTTCGGTACCGGTGGTGAACACCAACGGAACGCAACGCCAAAGTTCGTTTTCAGAAACCAATGAAACAGCCTTTAAAAATGAAACGGCCAATAAAAACGGCTTTGCCTGTTCAGTTTCTAATGCGGCTCCGGACGGTCTTGGTGCAGAAGAAAGTAACAGATCACAGCAAGTAAGATGTCTCCTCGTAACTGTCCGCGATTGGCCTGTTCCTCTAGATCCGTTTGGATGCGAAGGTGCAAGCTACTCACAAAGGAATAGACTTTTCGTTGAAACAATCAACGCGTCAAATTGAGATCGACGCAAGTATTGCGACGCGTTTATAAAGTTCCAGTAACTTTGATGCGAAGGTATCTTTGTTCAGAAATATTTGCAGAAACTTTTTCTTTGTCCACAAAAAAACATAATAAATTGTCTCGGAACAGGTGACGTTAACGGACTTTATCCGAGTGTTTTTATTAGACTTTTTGGCACGTTGCTCTAATATCTCTTACGTAGGATGTTATATATATATATATATATACATAGAAAACTAATAAGAAACGTTTTTAGGTTAGTCGTTAGAAAAGCAGACGACGCGCAAAATCGAATCGAGGTTTGATTTTGCGTCGCGCAAGCGGTTGGCAGCATCGTCGTCAAACGATGCTACGCGACACCGCACTCAGTAGTGTGTCGACTAGCTCCATCTACGATAGAAACTTAGCATAACCTCGTTGATTTCGCGTATTCGATCGTGACGATCAATCCTCGAACGAAACAAAAGACGATACACGAAATAAGCGGTTGAACGGATTGAATTTTTACGTGATCGGCTCGACGACGACTCGCGGCTACGCGATCGCCGTTGGACATCGACGTTTGCACCCGTACGTTTTCCCGCCCTTTCGTCCGGCCGACATTTTATTTGGTGGGGGACAAAAAGAAACGCACCAAAACATAAAAGGTCGGCGCTGATTGGCTTACTTTTTGCGGCTTATCTGAAATAAGCCAATGGTAATGGGAGATTTTCCACTTGCACCGACCGTATGCCGCACGAGTGGCGTGGGGTCGCGATATTCGAAGCTGAAGAATCCTTTTAGCTGTAGCGGATCGCGTTCCAGGTAAGAAAAATCCAAATATTTTTCGCGTACCGCGTTGACAGATCCCGCGACGATATCCCGGACACGCCGCACGCTCGTCCGTGCCGCCGGACCCGCCCAACGCGAGCGTGTCCGCTGGCCGTGAGCTGCTACCGTGCTGCGTTTCTCGTACGTATATCTTTTATTTCCGTACTACCCGTCAGCACACGGCAGCAAATGGCTGCCCGGACAGACGCGTCGCACGCCTATGAATTTATTTGTCGTTTTACATCGCGCGGATTATCGTGATATCACGCGATCAACGTGCGACGGCGAGTCTCGTGATGTGTGATATACGTCGATCGCAAAGGAGGCCGTCGGAGACGCTCGCTGCTCGCGAATCGTTCGCGCTCCGTTCACCTGGGCTCTCTCTCTCTCTCTCTCGCTCGCTCGACGAGAGTTTACTTTTATAAAATCCGTTTAACAAAACGTAACGCTGGTGTCAACGTCTAGAGATTGTCGTGACCGTGTGAATTTCGTAATTTGTCGTTTGTTTCGGCCGTTTCGCCGTGCATCGCGAAAGAGACTTCGTCTCTCGACGAAGATGATGCAGCTAAACGTGACACGTTAACATCAAACCGCACTCCCGGCCATCGCTTGACCCTGCATGGCGCGATGGCGGGACATGCCGCCTGTCGCGTTTTCCCGCTCTCGTTGTATCTCTCTCTCTCTCTCTCTCTTTCGCGAAAGCTGTCAAGTGCGAGTCGATCGAGTCGGCGATTATATACGTCCAGCGATCCTGGAAAAAAAAGAATCGACGTCTCTCTTTACACCATCCTCCCCCGTCTCTCATCTCGTTGCTCCGATTATTTCTCTCTCGACGGGTTTATGTATTGCATGACGCGTTTGTTATTACGCCAGTGAAATAGATTGCGAGTGAGAGAGCGACCCGTGAAGTGTTGGCAGGAGAGCGGAGTGTAGAGCGAGATAGAAAACGAGAGACACAAGAAAGCCGAGAAAGAGAGAGAGAGAGAGAGAGAGAAATATACGGAGAGAAGTGTTTACCCGTAGGCGTTTCTCTCCTACCGATGGTGCATCTCTCGCGCGCGCGAAAAAAAACGCAACGTAGCGTCAAAACCGCGTTCAGACCTTGCAATTCGGTGCAACTCGCTTTTACTTATATTGTACACGCTATATCACACGCTTATATTACGTCGCAACGGTTGGTTGTATGTAAGCGACGAGAGTACATAGTTGCGCTGCTGCGACATGTTAATCGCGTTTTACGGTCGCATACGCGTTATCGTTCGTCGCCGTGTCGCACGCGCGTGTCCCATATAGAATATTATGGATGCGGGAGATTGAACGCGATATATTTATCTTATTTATGTAAGGCGTCATTTATAGCTGCGCCGCGGTACAGTCACGAGTTCGTACGCGAGCTCTCCCCGATGCACGCAACGGCGATGCGGAGGCGCCAAAAGCCAAAGCGCGACGTCGCCACACGACGACTCCGCTCTTTGACGTTTTTATTCGGTCTCGCCCAGTAGTCGTTCAACACCAGTCCGGCCTCCTCTGCGCGTTCGCATAATTTTTCATTTTCGACATCGTAAAAATCCCGTTTCTTTCAGCTGTATTTCTCTGTACAGTTTTTTTTTTTTTTTCTTAAATTATTGTCTTCTATTTTTTTTTTTTCAACTTTATTATATTCGTGTACATGTAATTTTTTTTTTGATTTTTTTGATTTCAAATTCTGCTATGCAACACACATTGAAACTTATTGGCGCGCAGAACATTCTGAGTGTGTCAGATGTTCTGTTGTTTAAAAGTTGTTGTACGTGTATTCCACTTGAAGGACAAGACCGGTTCTTTAACGACATAGTCGTAATCGTTTTTTTCTCTCTCAATGAATTTTTAGTTTAGTAAAATACTTTGTTGGTAAATAAAATTTTCTATTAAAAATTTTTCATATATGTACATTTTTATGTGTAATTCCTATACAAGTATAATACATGTAATGTTTTTCTTTTGTTTGTTTTGAGTGCAGAAAGTTGCAGCTGAAAGAATATTTCTCGTACGTATGTACACGAAAAACGTCGACAGCACACGCGCAATCAAGTTGGGGATCTGAAACCGGTACGATTTTTGTGTGTAGTAAAACAAGTAGAATTAAGATAGATCGTAATAACTTTTTATTGCGCAATATAACGGATATACTAATATATAAGATTAGTTTAGGAAACATGCTTTAATTAAGGTGGCAATTTCTTCTATCGCGCGGATGTATATTACTCGTTGCGAACGAGAATTTATTGTGCAATAATGCAAGATCAGAAGAAAAGTAAGTTAGATTAGGGTTAGATTATAGGTATAAAATAAACTTAAGATAGGAAAGTTATGTGAAACAATTGACAATGAGATACGTGTAAAAGGTATATAAGCTTATAAAGAAAATGAAGAAGTCAGGTCGAAGAGAGAAAGAGAGAGAGAGAGAGGAAAATACGTATATCTTAATTAATTAGTTTTCAAACAACAGAATATATCGAGTTAAACGTGTAAACAATATGCAAACAATAACGAGAACGTTCTCGTAATCTAGAACTTTGGTTATTGCAACATAACAGAAGAAAGACTTTAAAAATAGAGGAAGGAAGAAATTTTATTTTCTTTGTTTACAACTTATTATGCTACTTTCGTAGTCATCGACACGCCTCTCTGTTCCGGTGTCCAATAAAAATCTTGATCATAGTCTGGAATACTTTGTGTGTAAAGGACCACTTGTGCATCGCGGTATTTCAAGCCGTGCAAGCACTCACGAGCTTTATCGAAGCATATAAAAACTCGTCCGCACATACACACACACAGACACGTGCTAACTATACGTGAAGAAAAACTCACATTTGCAAATATTGTTTTTTAGTCAATACACACATCTTTTCGATCGATTATCCGCAAAAGCACTCGATCGGAACAAATCGCGTCTCTGTACTTTACTCTCTCTCTCTCTCTCTCTCTGGTCTCGCTCCTGCATCTTCGCTTTGGATAATCCGCTTTTCGCCATATACGCTAAGAATTACGCGCCCGAGTTCCGAGTGTAAGTTGCCCAAGAGTTACATCATCAGTAACGTTACAATAAACACGTGTTCTTGCCGGCCACGCTCTTGCTTTTAATCGATACCAAGCTCATTGTAGACGGAACGAAGCTTTTTGTTAAATTATCTCGCGCGAAATGCATTTTTTTTTTTTTTCTAAAATTTAATTAGAATAATGAGAATATTTTTTGCATAGTTGCGCAATTACAAGGAAGTACGTTATCTAATAGATGAAAAGAGCCAATCGGGGATCAGATGTTTAATCATTTTTGTTTTGCTAACTCTCCGTCAAATCCGGATGCTGCAAAACTTTTTTCACTATGTGT